GGGCGGCGCCGGCGGGCGGGCGGCACTTAAAGGGCCAGCGGCCCTGGGGGGGCGTGGGTGCAGGTTCTGGTTTGGCAGCAGAGCGAGAGTCTCCAAGTCTTTTAAAAGCAGAGTTAGCAGTAACGTTTCCTTTTCACTTCCCTACAGGGTGGAACGTTATTTATAGCGTCTCACCCGTGTTGGCATGTTGTTATTTGTCTGTACGGGGGCGCCGGGTGATTTTGCAGCCCTGCAAATGCGCAGCACCCTGGGGCCCGCCTGCCCAGCGGCAGCAGGACAAGCCCGCACCTCCCCTCCTGCTGCCGGGGTTGCTCTGTCTGCTGTGCGAAACCAAGGGGGGAGGAGGAACTGGGTTTATTTTTCCACGGTGCCTTGGAGGGGTTATTGCAGCACGTGGGTTTTGCAATGCTGCTTTGGGCTCCTGTGAATCAACAGGCTGCCTGTTCATCGCTAAAAGAAACTCCAAATTCTTCTTATTTTTTTCATGACCCGAGACTTTGCTGGATCTTTCCTAATGGCAGGTGCTCAGATGAATGAGAAACGTGTCCTCTAATACAGATATTTTATCTGCAGGAGAATTTTTTTTGTTGGCAAAGGGCACCTTTTGTATGGTTTCTGTTTGCCCAGGGCATGGAGAACTTGGGCAATGAGCTGCCACTCCCTTTCTGCTGAGCCTCTTACTAATTACATAAACAAACAGCAATGACTTGACAAAAAAATCATGTTGTTCTTCTGTTTAAATTGACGACGGTGTCAAGTTCATGGTCCCTTTATTAGCGGCCTTCTCAGTGTTTGTCTGCAGGAGACATCACTACAGAAACCGCTGGCCTTTGTGACATGATGCCTTGCACCCAACTCCAGTGACAAAAGTAAACCCAAAATCATGAAAGGGCAAAACTTCCCCACTGCGTGAATATGGATCTGCTAGAGGGACTGAAGAAGCTCCGATTCCTGTGGGGTAGAAGGTCTGGCCCCTGTGGAGGGAGGAGGCAGCGAGGGGAGAAGATCTGTTACCATTTTAAGATAGTTCCCAAAATGCAGCCAAGGAGGCCACATTTAGGAAGGAGACATTGTTACTTATTGCAGCTTTGCACAAAGCTGGGTTCTTGGTGCCTCCTCGCAAATCAAGCACCCTAAATGAGATTTCTCACGGCGTATTCATACACAAAACGATAAAGTTAGTAAGCGCCCAAGTCCATCCTCCTTATAGTGATTGGTTAGTGATTTACATATAATTACAATATGGTTACATCACTATTTCTACTATCACTCAGACTCAGGGGAAGGGTCTTCACTTTGGCAGGGACCTTTTTGAACTTGAGGTGTGATTTTTAGGATTTTAATGACATTATAATGAGCTCATTTCACCTAAAGAACACAGCATCTCAAGTTCTGTGGCTCCACTGACCCAAGACTGGTTAAGCTGTCAATCTTCTTGTTTTTGGTTCTTCTTTGTCACCTCCTGCGTTCCTTAGCTCCAATTATCCATACAGACCTCAGAGTCTGCCAAGTTAGTGATTCACATGAGACACCCTCAAGACCTTTTGGCCTAGTTATTCCAGGATGTCCTTGCTCATTGCTGGCTGTGGTACCACTAATTATGTGCCTCTCTGACTGCAATTTTAACTTGTGTATAGATACCGTGTACATCCTACGCAAAACAATCACATTATTCTGAATTTCAGCGTTATTTCCCAGCGGAGGGCGGCCTGCGGCCCCACAGGCTGCTGGTGGCACGGCTTGAAAACAAACAAACCCAACCAGGTGTATGGGGTGGAGTTTTGCCACAGGTTTTCCCGTTTAACAGTGCCAGCTGGGGCGGGTTACGCTGCAGGTGTGAAGAAGAGAGGAATAAGAGCAGTGTGTGTCCGAGGGAGCTCGTTGGTGTTGCCTGTGGGGAGGACTCGAGGATTGGCTGGAAGTGGAGGGGGGTACACGGTGCTCTCCTGACCCAAATCTAAGCACTGCTCCCTCCGTGGGCTCCAGCCACCCGGGGCAGGGAGGCGGGCACACAGGCCTGGGCAGGAGGGAAGGGGGGCGGGCACACACACACACACAGACACACAGACACAGACACACACAGGCCCGGACAGGCCGTGGGGCCGGCCCGGCAGCGCCGCGG